GGTGGCCTTCGTGGCTAAGCGAGGCTGGAATTCTCGGTGTCGGCTTTCAGAAAAAAGTCCCGGCATCAAGGGGTTTAGAGAGCCTGGGAATGATCCAACAGGTGTATGGTTCATCCTACCCCTGGCCAATATGCGGAGGAATAATTCCCCCCCCCCTGTGTTAATCTTCCACAACCAAAGTTCTCATAGAAACCAAACCTTATATAATTTTTGATATAATTTGTTTCAAGAGATCAATCACAACAACAGTGTATACTGGCAGATCCGGGGCGAGGGGAGCAATGGGCCCAGCCCCAAAAAAGGGCAAAATAAAAAATATTTCATTTCTCGTCCTTCAAAAATATGTGTAAAAACCTAAACACCGCTCATGAAGGCCATAAAAGTTTGCACCAAAAAATTTCAAAATATTTGCCCCCTGAAATAATTCTGCTCCCCTGACCCCCTGGAAATTTGCCCGACAATGGGCTCAGTAAACACAAGACTTGCTATGGTGAAAACCTCCTCTTGAAATTAAAACAGTGTGTGCAAAAACATGGCACAATTTACGTGTTGAATTCATGCCCACGAAAACAACCATCTACCAAAGTATACTTTACAAATAAACGTGACGTGACCACAAAGGAAGATTTATGCTCTCTTCACACAAGTCGAGGGGAAAGAACGACAACAAAAAGCATGTGGGACTTTTGCCGACTTGTGCCACTACAATCATCTAAGACAAGAAATAGTACACTAACAATGAGCGTCCATTGTGATGGCACCGTGCTTCTGTTGTTAGATATTCATAGTGTGATGGACTTGACTACAATGCTGATAGGAAAACAAATTCCTAAAAAAGAGAGAAAAAAGTGCCCCAATCAGTCGGTCTTAAATTTCAGTTTGAGGGGTTGCGGTATCTTTTTACTTCTGCAAAAAAAGGCAATTTAATCTTGCATGTAAATAAAACTGGCAAACTGATTTGTCCAAGGGCCGTGAAGGACAAGATAGGGGTTTCCATGGTAACTCCCGCCAATCATTTCCTCGATGAAGATTAAATGACGCACCGCACTGGATACAACAAGATGTTGTTGCTCCTGGCAACAGGTGGTCAAGACGGGAGATGGATTCTGTAATGTGGAGTTCTTGGTGGACAACCTTGCAGTAAAAATTCAGGGATTGAATCTACCCTGTACCCGGAAAGTCCATCTTTTCTTTTTTTTAGTGCACAGCTTGGTTACCATTCTCTCTGCAGGCTGGCACTGGTTTGGCTGCCTTCTTTTGGGGCACAGCCTTGCTCAGGATCTCATAATCGTACTCGTCTGGGCACATGGGATCAAAGACACTCGGCGAGGTCTCGTCAATCTCAAATCTGCGATATTACAACCAAGGCAAAGAAATTAAGCTTCTTATCCAGAAAAACAGGCTTAAAATATAATTCCCAAAGCACGCACAAGTCCAAATATGAGAAGACAGAAAGAGCAAATAATGCAGCTTTGAATATGGATTACTTCAACATGTGTTTTCTCCAGTTTCGGCATTTTGTCTTTCTGGTGATGCTTTATTCCGAAGTAATTTCAGCAAACATTTTTCCATCTTTATCTGCTCACAGTGCAAACATAATCATCCCGGCTTATTTTCCTTCCATTTCTGTCAATTTATATGCACCCACAAAGACTCCGCTCATTTGCATGAATAATGCATGATGAAATGATAGGGAAAACATCTGCCAGCTCATTATTTCCAGCACAATTGCCAAGAAACGGCTCAAAGGCGTTATATGGACAAGCTGTGTCAAATGGATGGGCACAGCTTTTACCTACATGTACACAGCCACAAATATAGTTTGAATGTTTTCTTTTGACAATCTGTTAAGTTGGAACCTTACCTTATCCAATTTTCTTTATCCAACCAAAATTATTAAAAATGACTGTGACATTTGCCTTCACGGTTAATTGATTAAATAAAAAATGAAAGATTCAACTTCATTTTGAAAGCAAAAGCTTAAAGAGGCAATTAAATTCTTCTCATATCTTAAATATTGGCCACAATATTTTCAAGTCAGCAGTTCGTAGAAAGTGTTTGGGCTCTTCCTTTTCCAGAGGGTTCCAACCCAGCTAAAGCCAGTAGTGCATTAATAGTTTCTCTAATGACGTTTGGAATTACAGGATTTGGATGCATTCCCCATTGCCACAGATTCAAAACTCTCGAGGCCCCCCTAATATTTGACAAGAGTTAATATGTAATTACCAAACTGATTCAATTCCACCATGGGAATTTATCAAGAAGATTGGATGTGCTCAATCTTCTTGCTGTTAGTATTCAATTGATTAGCCGTGCCACAGAGCATATAGTTTGAAGACCATTTGCATTTCCTCTTGGCACAGATGAAGTGGTTCTTCTATACTTCTTTTCTGGCCACGGCCCCCCCGATATTCAGTCATTACAAACAATTCACGGAACTTGGAGAGAATTCTACATCTGCTCAGTTTCAAGCACTTAGGCTGTGAGGATCACTTTGTTACTTGATTACTCTTAGTAACTGTGTTGGTCATTCAATTATATTTTTGAGTTTGGCAGACTCAGTATCTTTTTATTAAAAGGCTTCCTGTTAGAAGGTGGTGCAGCACCTGGCAAAAGAAATAGACTCAAAAGGCTGAGTCCAAATCAATTGGCTGCAGCTCGGATTAACGCACGTTTCTATATGAAGTTTCTGCAGCCGCTAGCAAATTTCTTAGTGGCTGCACACTGGTCCATACTTACTTGAGGATATCCCTGAAAAAATCGCATGCAGTGACATTCCTCTTGAACACTGTAAGCACAACTTTCTTCATGTGTGTTCTGTACAGGTCATAGATGAAACTTCATATTAGAGAGTATGCCGTGTTGCTGTTGGCTATCAGCAAAAAGTTATCAGCTATGAGCCAAAATTAGATTCCTGAATTCCACTGGGGGCTGTCAGACAAGTACACTTGGTGACGTTAAGCTTAACGTGCAGTATGAATTCTCATCTCCTTAAAAAATCACAAAATAACCAGGATATTCAGGCACTCTGCCACCACGAATCAGAATCAGGAATTTCTTGATGTATAAAATCAAGTTCCACCCCCTTGGGAAACCAACGTTTTAACTTTAAAAGCCTCTTTTCTGAGTCCTTTTTCTGGCTCATCTTTACAGGGCAACGTATGGCTATTTCCAAATGTCAATAAATTCCTGAAGAGGGCAACTCACTTGTAAGCTAGAAGAGACAGGATCTGCATGAGGAATTTTCCCAGACCTTTCCGTCTGACTTCTTCAACCAACTGGATCTCGTAACTGCAGGGGAAAAAACAGTAGCCGTCACAAATGCTTGATCAACAAAATTGAGTCGTTAACTTCTAACTTGCAAATTCCTAAAAACCTGAATCAATGTTAGTCTTTGAGAAAATTCCCCAAAATGATCACCACACAAACCTTTTATGGGACAGGGCAAAAGGACAGTGAGAGATGCAACAAATGGAAAAAATCAGAATGACGATGGGATTTTGGCAAAATGGTTCAACCAGGGCATTTCAGTGGTACTGTATTTTGCTTGTGTGTTGGTAAAGAAGAAAAGCAACTTGTGGTCGAAAGACGTTTGCTCTCAAACTCGCCCTAAGATTTTCATAACTAGGTGTGAATTCCAACACTTCATCTCCTACCAAGAACTGGGCAACGTTAGAGAGTTAAATCTCTCGCCTGTCTGTAATAGGAGTACATGGGTCCCTGTGAGGGTAGATATGGTTATTATGGTCAGTTGTTTGCACCTGATGTGGCAGCATCAGGCCAGGATACACCCCTGGGAACTAAAATGATTTCAGGAATGTTAAGATGTTGTGAGCCCAATGTCCAGGGATAATGATAATATACTGGCGCCTCTGAATGACAGATACTGTGAGACACTGAGCACCTTACATTGACATTATTATCACTTACCAATACAAGACCTCGTCATCAAAATCCATGTCGAAGCGAAAGTGGATCAGCCCAACAGGAGTGCCATCTGTTTCCCTGGCAATGAGGTACCACGCCCGGTCGTCCGTCAACTCTTCCCTCTTCTCCCGCGGTCTCCAGCCACAGCTGCTTGTTTCGTATCTACGGGAGAAAAGAAACAAGTAGTTTAGGATGGACGCCAATTCCCTTCGGGCACTTTGGCAGGATATCTTCAGCATCCTGGAACATCCTCAGCTGTGCAGGAAACCAAAGGCATTTAATCTGGTGAGATGTAATACAGCAGGGTTACTGCAGGCAGTTTTAATACATGTGGCTGCTAAACTTTCAGTTAAATGCAGATTTCTGCAGCTACTTACTGTTCTAATGCTGTTTACAAACTGTGGCTATGATCCCAAGCATTTGACAAGAAAAACAATTAACCACTTGCCGCCGGGGTTTCCGGTACCGGACACGTATGCTTTAACGTGTGGCCGGGGTCTCCGAAATTGGACAAAGGGAACTGGGCCTTGTAACAAAAGACCATACTCGGAACAAAAGACCAGGTTGCTGGGCATTACCAACATTTTTTCACTGATAGTGGAGATAATCCAGCCTTATTTTCAAACAGTATACCACAGTTTGGAGCATTTAGAGCGAGCTGATTACCACCGGGGACAAAAGCCCTCCACCACCCCAGCGATGAGCCACACAGCACCGCTGCACACTAATCTGGCCCCTATTGAAAAGAGGTCAGCAGTGCACTGAGCCATTTTTGTGAACAAAAGAAAGTTATATAACACCGCACAGTCTGAGCTCTTTTTACAAGGCTGCAAGCCTGGTTAAAATGCTCGGGGGTCAATAAATTTTATCTGTCAGATAGAGTAGCCACCAGACAGTCATTCGTGTGGGTGTAAATGTCCATTAATTGAAATGATGAATTTTTGAAGAATTTTGAAAACTGAAAATCTTGAAAATGTCCTGATTATGTGCACAACATTTTTCAAACCACCCGGCAGCAAGTGGCTGAGAGCTTTTAACTTAAACTATAACCCCATGATCTGGCAAGAAAAGAAATTGTATTTAGAACAGCCTTCAAACGGTAACTGGACACACAGTGTGCATTAGGCTGCAACAGATGCCACCTGGTGGAAGTGGTGACTTTTAGCTGGGAAAAATGATAGTGGCTGCACCTTCCTCAATCTTTGGAAATCATCCGGAATCTTCTGGTGGGTTTTGAAGGATTTGAGCTGATTACAAGTAAGTTGGTGAAAGCAACAGGAAATGCAACCAATGGCAAAGTGTGAGTGACAATGGGACAAAATGGTTGGGAAAACTGAGTTGGGCGGCTGAGCGGAATTGTACATGAGACTCATCGGTAAGGAGGAATTAACAAGCGGTTGAACTTCAGTTTACACCTTAGCTTTGCCTTCAATACTTCCTGATTTTAACTGTTTTGAAGTTTTTCCAAATGACAGTTTAGAACCATCCATGGGACAAGCTCTTGAAAAGAGATGGAAAAAACTGCGTGCACCACTCACAAATGTGTATCAAACCAAACCAAAATGCTGAAGTCACTCTGGGTCAGTTGGTGACTGCACAAAGAAGCACAGCTGTGTCATGTTGTGCACTGCACCAACTGTCCTACACAGGAATATCAGATTGCACTTTTGTGCTGTCCAACAACTGTGCCTCGCTGTTTCATGTGCATAATTGTGCAGTAAACCAAATGCAGTGAAGAGGACTGCACAGAAGACCCTGTGTCCTTTTGTGCTGGCAACCGACTGCATACACATTGAACCTGTGCATATCTGTGTTCCATATGGAAACCACATTCACAAGAGTCACTGTGGGCATTCACATATAACTGTGCTGTTAAACCATAGGAGGGTTTGTGGTACTTAATGAAAAAAATTTAATCTACACACTCACAGTGTCTGCATGTTTTTCTTGGTGAGGTCGAAGGCCCAGTCCAACATCTGCTCATCCAGGCTTGTGCTCCGGCAGCATTCGATCGTCAAATTCAGTCTAAATTGGCAAATAAAGGCATAATAATTGAATAAAATGGACTTTTATCATGGCAGCCATGGCATCAATTATCATACAGACAGGAATGAATTATGGTCTGTATGGCTGTTGCACGATTTTTTTTGGGGGGGGAGGACAAAAGCACTTTAAGGTTTGCCACTCCATGACACGTAGTTTCCCCTCCGCCACCAACCCCCCTCCCCACCCACGACAACTTAGCCAGATATTTCTCAAGTGAAAATGGACTCGGGGTTCAAATGAAGTGTGGATCACAGGCCTACAAATCAAAAGTGGACGTTCGTGCGGACTTCTTTCTGGTTTCTTGCTGTTGTTAAAAGGAATTTTGAGGAAGGTATCCCACTAGCAACATTGGTGCACATCAACAAATTTGTGCTGGTGTTTTTTGGAACAACTTTCAACCTCACCCGTTTCTGTTGTACTTCTTGAACGGTGCTAAGCTCTCCATGGGATCATCAAGAGCATTGGCCGCTTCAACGACAGCTCGCGATGCAGCTAAGGAGGCCTGCTCCTGCATCAAGTCCGCAAAAATAAGATCCGAACATTTGAACAAAATGTTCAGAGTTACAAGGGCAAGGGTTGTAGTCCAGTCTATCACGGGTCAAATCACAAATCTGGTCACAAGTAAACAGCAAGGAGTGCCCTTACCACTGTTCCTTTGAACACATGATCTGATGAGTGACCTGAAACTAAATGTCCTGTGATATACTTGTGAGGACTTGTGGTGAATTCGTGAGGACCTGGGATCGATCTGAGGACTTAAGATGGACTTTGAAAACTTTAGATGGACGTGTAAAGGACTCAAGATACATGTAGATGTGAGAGGACCTGAGGTAGTCTTGTGAGGACCTGAGATGGCCTCAAGTACTATAAGCAGGGGCTGATATTATGAAGCCAAGCAGAGATTTTTCTCACAAGCTGAAAATGAATCTGGAATAACAGCTTATTTATCTTAAATCACAGGTAGATTGAAATGGAGGATAAGGATAGGATACACTAAGAGGCAAGGTGCTGGGAGGAGTATTCATGAGGGGTGAAAAAACACTTCACATTCTTGATGGAGGACCTTCACAACATTTTAAGGCTCCCCAAAGACCATGCACATAGAATAAGGCCCTCTAATGGCATACAGGCATTGCTCTGAGAACCAACGCTGCCGTTTGTAATTTTCACTCCTATGGAGAAACAAACACAAACTTGTTCATCAAACAACCTCAGTTTACCTCTTTCCTTTTCAATTTCTTCTCCTTTCCTTTGGCAGATTTCCTCTAAAAACAAAAGCAGGATGTACAATTTTAAGTTTGAAGACAACACTAGCATGCCCACATGCAACTAACTTATCGTCACATCAGTGCAACAAGGTCGGATCTCGTGTTCAAAACAAATAAGAGTTACGACCTTGTTGCACCGACACGATGTCATATTAGTTAATAAATTGAATCCAGTGCTCTTCTGTGAGTATGGACTACAAAATGACGCATATTTTTATTTCGGCTGAAAATCAAAACTGTGACAAAAAGGCAACATTTTAACCCTTTGACAACGGGAATTTCTTCCCGAAAGCCGAATCCAAGAATTCAAGCCTCAATTGGCCAAGAACAACCCTATTTAAAAATCAATGGGACAAATGTCCATTTTGAACAGACCTGCGGCAAAGTTGAAATTTCTGCAAACTCTGGCCGCTCATATATATGTAAGTTGTAGGCAAAATGAGAGTGGTCTACACGTTGTACAGGGAGTGGACAGTTCCAGATTACTTTTTACACAAACCGCTGAACAATGTACATTACATCTGCCAGAGTTTGGAATTTCCATTTCTGAGGGACATCATTCTGTAGCAAAATGCCTACTCGCTAATTTATCAATCAAACAGGTTCACATGTGGACTTCATTGCTAGGGAATTATATCCTGGCTTTCATAAAGTGCATACTATAACAGAACTGTAACGGATAACATTTAACAGTTCCTGATTACACACACCATGCCACCTCGCGTACATGTAGGTGTGCGGTATATGTGCACATGGCTCCAGATTTATCATGGAGGACAGCGGATGAAACATGAATTAGAAAAAAAAATGGCTACTGGCTACTGATAAAATTATCAAGGATCTGTGCAGTAAGATTGACCGATCAACATCGAGTGATAACGCATATCGACCAATCATACACTCAGTGAATCTCAGGACTTGTCAGGAAAAACATGTTTGTTACACTAGTACTAGAATTAATTTTCATTAAATCAAGTTATCCAAAGAGGGAAGAATTCCATACATGAACATCACTAAGTTTCCCTGCATCAGTTACAAAGGCCTATCAGTAGGCCTGTCAGCAATAAGCCAATTTCCCGTTCAATTGCCGTACTGATTTTATGCCCCCATGCAGGTAATTAAGCAAGAGGCATGGTGAGCGGGGAACAAATTGTCTACAACAATAAACGAATAACAATTGCAAGCATCCATTTGCCAATTCTCACTCAAAGTTGTTGTCATGAATTTGCTCCCCTCTGTTAAATCTTCTGAGCATGTGCATATGAAACATGAAAAAGGCTTATCAAGAAGCAATAACCATGATAACATTTATAGGGTTTGTCATGATGTCCAGCTAGGGAACCCTTACCTCTTGAACTAACGTTATACCGCATCCAGAATTCTTGCATACAATTTAGCAGAATTTTTGAAAAAGGCCGAACTGAAAAAGCCTTAGGCCTACATGTAACACAAGTTACAACGTACACCAAATGTCAATTGACAAACGCACCGTCATGACGGTAGGCCCACATTAGCATAGCACTAACGATGCCTTGTGACAAACATGACAACCTTCGTTATCGACGTATTTGACCGGGAAATATACACGTATCAACGTACTCTGAAGGCCATAGAGATACCTACCCCCATTTCTGTGTAGTCTGAAATGAAAGATAAAAAGCCAAAGAAATCCAACTCCACCAAACTACGCCGTACGCGGCACTTTGTTCTCGACTAGATCGACTGAACGTTCCCGGGAAAAATTCGGTTCTAACCGCGCGAAGATGTGTAGTTGTTGCAATTTGTTTCCTCCAATCTATCTAACGTGGTATGCAAAGGTCGAACTAGACTTGATTCAAGTCATCAGCTGATTTCAAGTTTGATTCGTTTACATCCCACTAGTTTCTGGTTTGGACCTTTATTTCCTGGTTACTGATGCAAACAGACTCAAATGGGAAACTTGTTGCAATATGTGGAGTCCGGTTGTAGGGGTTCTTTCTTCACCCACCTTTATGGTCCGGGTTCGAATCCCAGTTGGGTTTTCAGTCCCCATCCAATTCTATGGGTTTTACCCAGAATATTCCTCTGGGGTTTTCTCCCACCTCTAAAACTGTAACTGCTTCTCATTGTCTCCTGTCTACAGGTTTCTTCAGGCTTGCGGTGAGCTACAGTGCCTATGTCACTTTTTAGGAATCATTGGTGTCATTACCAGAAATGATGAATAATTGGACTAGGCCTAGGCCTACTACTAATACTAAATATTGCATTTTTTCAAGAATTGCAACACATTCATGCTTAGAGAGAAATCCCATGTTAATAAGCCTTTTGCGAGTTAAATTTGAATAATGTGGTACACTAAGTTATCTGATTGTCCCAGACTAAGGACACTGTTGCTGTTCCTCGTGATTCGGGGCAAGTTTTGGCATAGCAACCACCATTTTGGAATGGATTAGTTCCTTTGTGCCCTTCTTATCCACTGAAAACAGTGTATTGATGCAAAGCATCTCTTATGTAACTTTTAAAGCACAAGCTTGCCTAAAATCATGGGGTATAGCAAATGTCTTTAGTATGGAGAACTCAAATTATGTTTATGTGAAACTCAGGGTACTAGATTTTATTGAAATTTAACTCACAAAAGGGTTCCTTAGTCCTTTTTCAATTAATCAAGTCATTTGCAAACTCTTAGGTTCTTCAGTACCCTCAAATTTTAAACACAGCACTACTGCAATAGTTGAGGGCAAAAATGAGCTGTTTGACTTCCCAATATTAAAAGAATGTAAGTCACACGTTCTTTTCGTAATTCACACCACACAGTTACGTCCTTGAAAGGAGACCAAGAATGAGAAAGGTGAATCCTGTCTGGTTCAGAACTTCTTCCTCTAAGATATTTTTGTCTTTGAAAACTTTTGTAGTGCCCCTCCCAGAGAAATGAACGAAAACTCACCCCCCCCAAAAAAAGCTTCCTTTTCTTATAACGCAACCTGCCAACCGATCGGCAGAGGGTTGACCAGTTACTATGGTTACTCCCTTCTGATTGGTTAAGACACCCAGCAGGAAGTGAACTCACCCCCTTTGTTCGCCTTGGCTGTGTCTCAAGTCATTCCTTATTGAGCAGCCAACGATTATACATCATAAGTCCTATGCAACCGTATTCATGTCTGCATAATCTTTGCTCATTTTACAGCTTTCAACCAACCCCTTGGGGGCTGGCTTACACTTTGTTTCAGGAGAGGAATAAAGGAAACACAGTTGACAACTTAATTTTAAAGTAGCTATCCAACAAAACGTGGACATTTTATTGGTTACCCAAAGTTTCAATGACAGAATTTTAAAAGACCAGCTGATGCCTATTTTCCATTTTCAATAAACAAATAACTACATGTACATTAGCATTCACAACTCAACTTTTAATTAATCCCCTTTTCCACAATAAATACAAGTAAGACTGACACGGATGGCACCAAACTACACTCCACGTATTTGTCAAAAATAAAAACTTATTTCCCAATTGTTAATCCATACAAGGCACTCCAGTTTAAGAATTCTACTGCATATATTTGTTACACTAAAACTCAGAAAATCGTGAAAATATTCAGCACTATTCCAAGTCCATAATTAATATTAACAACGTTAAGACCGTATGCAAATGGAATGATTTATACATATCATACCTGCTTTATATTCCCCTTAAAACACGCAAGACTAAATATGTGTGGTCAATTTACCATGTTTTAACTGCAGTTGAGACATGATATCACACACAGTTCACCGCACTGCATTCTGGGAATCAATGGGGATATATGATACCTGAATTAAAAAAAATCCGGGGATTGCTTGTTTTGAATCTCTTAAAAATAACCCATCAACAAAAATAATTCCTGATAAATCCTACAACGGGGAACAGAATCGCTAGCTATTCAAACTTTTGCTTACAGTGATCGCTTTCTTGCTAACCACAGGCGTAATGTCACAGACGTCACACAATCTGCAATGCACATGCTTTCAATCTGTCTTTATGTCAAGGCTGAGCAAATTGAAAGTACAAGCCATCATCTTGTGCAGAACAAAGAGCAAAAACAGTTTCATTCCATGGTCTCTGTATAACTTGTAGGCTTAATGACTGATTTAATATTGTCTCTCTGCTACCCAGGCCTGAAATTCATAACAGTGTGCACTCGTGTATTTCAAAGGTTGCGCGCCACTGTGTACAAACGGAGCCACGAAAAATGTTTTATAACTTGAAGTGTTTTAATTAACATTTTTTAAAAAGTGTTTTAATACAAGCACTTTTTATTAGTTTTGATGACAGCATATCAGAAATGAGTAAATAAATCAAATACATAAACTTTCTCCAAGAACTTTTAAAGCCTTATTTCTTACACAACCCCAACTCCTGGCCCAAGTGCAACAGTCACCAATGTGCACGTGCATGGCATGGCTCAAATATGATACAAATAGCATGGAATGGTGATGATGAGCAAGATAAGTTGATCTGCACGGTCAGGTCACACTGCAGCCCCGAATGACTTTACTTCCTTTCTCAAAACAATCTTCCACAACCACAGTTTACACAGACAAGGGCGTATGGTTGCAGCTGGAATTATCGGCAAATCGTGAGATGAGATAATCATACTGTACAAAGACCGATAATTGCAAAGTTTAACTGATCGCATCCAACACCGACACCTTCCGCCATGTTCATTACATTCAGAAACTTTATCTGAGCAGTCAGGCTTAAATGGGCCATTCTGTGTCACTTGATTAGGAACATCCATTAAGTACCCATGATTTATTCTATCCAAAAGTTAATGCATGGTTGATCAAAGAAACTAAACTTCATTCTTGAAACAAATGCTCTACAATAACAGGGTTACTTTTTTTTTTTATTAAACTAATAAAGGGAATAAATACACCTGTACATAATATCGAAAAGAAAATAAGGACAATATACAACATGTCTAAATTTGGTTTTAAGGTTAACCTAATTCTGAAAAATAACTTGATCATCCATTTCCCAAATGTCTTTGAACAGTCCAAAGTTGCTGTTCCAATAAAAATAGAGCTTTTTTCAGTTTTCTGTAGTGGATGTTGAGATGTTAAGAACATTTACTTCCACAATTGACTTATCAAGGAGCCAGGAGAAATTGCACAGACCTTTTAAAAGCAAGAAGTTGACATCTTCCTTAAAAAAAAATTCACACAAGCAAACAGCGATTTTCAAAATAAAAGGTACCCAATAGGAAAATAAGCAGCCACAGCAAAATGGTCCTGAGTACTGTTAGGGCCAATGAGGGTGGAGCTTGTGTGAACCAGCAGCAATTTTCAGGATAATCTTGGATGTATACCGTACTTTTTTCAGACTTTTTCAGACTCATGGATATCAGACAGTCAAACTAAAGTATTTTGTTGGTAACACTGGAAAGAATGGAGCATCTTTTTCAGTTAGTTTCTATTTACATGTACATTTTTTTTCTCTGTGGAACCATATGTATACAAAATAAACATGTAAAAACAAATTTATTTCACAGGGTACAAATCAGACAAAATAAATGAGACAAGTGAGGTTTTTAACACAAAATGGGAGTTTAAAACTACTTCCAGAATTTCACGTAGGTTTCATAAACAACATACAATGGTCAATCTAATACATTAAATTTTACATATTAACAATTCCAATACACAGAAAAAGTTGGTTGTTAACAAAAGTTTTCCTGAGGACCAAGAAAATAAAATTCCCATTTCTAATGCAGCTTAGCCTGTCCTGCATTTTCAGAGAAGCTCTCTAATTTCTAGTTCCAAATACAGTCAACCATTTTAAGTTTCAGAGTATGATTGTTGTCAGGAAGATTATCAACTTCATTCCAACCACAGGGAAAGTGTCTTACTTGGTGAATGCCAAAGAAATGAAAAACTTTGCTACATGAAAGTTTTTACCACAACTTGCAAAAGACAAACATTCCACAGTTCCAAGCAAACTGTGAAAATCTGGCACTGGCTCAGGCCGTTGCCATAGACATGCTCCTCTGTGAACTATTCACCCTCATTTAACATTGCCTTACATTCTTTTGTATGCTCTCAATCTTCTGCATACGATTCCAGAGCCTGTGACCTTTTACTTCATTTGATCTCTGTTAAAATACACGGTGACAGTCTATGAAAACACACCACTTTTCACTCTGGGAAAATGGCCTCACACAAACCTGGGGACACAGTAATTACTTAAGTGCATCATAATCCTAAATGTCTCGTTACTTCTGTCAACTCATTGAGACACAGAACAATTACCCATTTTCTGATGAATTTATTGTAGCATTTTCATCAACTGTTACTACAAAATTTTAATGTTTAAACGCAAAACTCTCCTTAGCCACAGCAGCTTGAGAGAAACCCAAATAAACAACAGCCGCTATTAATGTGGGCTTTGTGAAGAAGCATCTAGACTTACAAGAGGTGTCGTTGCTGGGTCCTACAATACTCGAGTGTGCATGCTTAAACTTGACATGCACAAGCCTTTTGTCAAGTCCCAACATCCCACTGCTTGAAGAGGTATTTAATGTGCTCCTGTGACCTGCGTGAAGCAGCACTACCACAGCAATAATGGCTTCAAAGTCTCGTCATCAGATTTGATTATTTAACTCCTACCACGGACACAGGGAGGGCATTAAGCCAATACTTAAATACAACTGCTATCATATGCCCTGTGACCTTTTCAAAACTCCACAGGTTTGCACAATTTCAGATAAAAAAAAAAAACGGTCACGCCGTTATGCTATACATGGGGCAACATTGCGTTTGGTCCCCACTGCTTGTCTCTGCTTGGCAGAGCCTATCAACAGCAACTTCCTATCCTATGAGTGTTACACTGGGTAATACTGTAAACAGCTTTAAACCGGCAGTCATTTTAATAAACAATCCTTTCACAACAGTAAACACCACCAACTTTTTCACCAACTTCTTGACAATCGCTTGTTCTTTTTTCAGCACCGGTGCCAATAGGTTCAGCAAAGGGGTAGGGGGGCTAGGGCAGTACTCACTTTTATGGGGGAAGCACTCCATTGGTTACGGTCATGGAAATAAACAATACAAAGCCCTCTTACCCAAACTCTGAGCACCCGAAAGGGTACCCCATCCCCTACATGCTCATGTCACACCAGTGGATAGAAGACCCCATTAAAAATGCAGTGCTGGAGTTTCTCGAAGATTTCAAGACAGTATTAATTTTCTTTTAGTACACTCAATACACACCGTTACCTGCTAACGTCTATCAAGTTGAAATACAACATTATAAGGGCTGCACTTGCTGAAGTACCTGATTTGTATCAACTCTGGACATTCGACAGGCAGATTCCAAGTAGCTCAGTCAAGTCAAAAGCCTAATGGAGAAGCTGCAAGAAGCCCTACCTCAAAACCGTCTGATAATAGACTCTCGGCTTTTTCCAACTCCTACCCATTTCACTACAAAAAAGACAAACACATTAATTAAAATCAATAATGCAGTCTAACTAATCACTGTTTACTTCTTATGACATGTCAATCCCCTCAGAAGAAAGCCTACCAATGGGCACTATGTCCACCTAAAAACCAGTCTAACCCAACCTTTCTTCACAAGCAACTCAACCATTTCGGTGATCATATGCAAACCTATCACTCTCCAAAAAAATAACACCATCAAAACACAGCTGAAACAACCAAAATCACATTTTCTCTATGGTTGGAATTTTCAATGAGAAATATGAATTAAGTTATAGAGGTTTGTGGTAGCACCGTGCAAGGATATCTCTTTCTGAGTATGTGTGGTTCTGAAAAGAATCAGAGGGCACTCAGAGGGTACTCAACATTTCGGGCAGAGCATACTGTCCAAAATGTTGAGTACCCTCTGCCTGCAGTCAGATTGTGGAACTCTAAGACACCATTCAAAAGTTTCAGCAAAATTACAAAATATACCAACGCAATACAGACATGATTTGGTAATGAATATATGATTTATGACACACTAAACACCAAAATAGTTTATTTTCAAAACTTTTCAAACCGTTGGAGTTGGTCTTTAAACCAATGTACCTCAACCTCAAATCAAGCTTTACAAAGGATACAAAAGAAAGACATCACATCCTATTTATCAACATGTGACCTGATTTATGACTGGCTTTGTAGACTGACCTACAACTATCTGGAAAACAACATTGTACATGCGTTGTCAAGAGACAACCATCATCATTTTTGGGAACAGAATTTCACAGAGCAAATTTTGGAAGAGCTGGGGAGACTGATGAAGCTCCTGCAAACCACAAAAGAATCACTGCAAAGCTTAGCCAGTTAAGCTGTTGAGACCAAACAAGTTTCTACACTCTTCTGGTTCAACTCTTCTGGTTAAAACAAGCTGATTTGAAAGTTTCCTTTACTTCTTCTGAAGAAAGCTGACACACTGACGACCAACCTTAAAACTAATGGGCCCTGCCAATCAAGAGTACATGTCTAGTTGATGACATGTTGAACCTGATGCTACTCACCAGGGACACCGACTAGCTCTTCTAGCTTCATCACATACGCCTGAGCATTGACTGGAAGATCTTCAAAGGTTCTGATCTGCTCCGTGTTGCTTTTCCAGCCAGGCATAGTTATGTACTCAACCTTGACCTCCTTCAAGATGTCCTGATGAGCTGCAAAAGTAACAAGACAATACATCAGATTAAGCCCAGGAAATTGCTAAGCAAAATTTCACATCAAGCACCTGAAATTGTCAGTCTACAGTACTGTCACAGTGTTGAGCCCATCAACCATTTTTACGGTACCCTGGGTGTTCCAGTTTTGTTCAAGTAGAAAGTGTTAAGCAAGCTTCTCAGTAAAATAACCTGGGAATTCACGTTAACTGAACTTCTGAGATATCCCATGAATGAGGCAAATCTACCTGGGAAGCACGGTAGTTCTTCACCCTTGTATTTGTATGCCACTCCAATCTTGATCTCATCCAGCACGTCTAAAATGTCAAGCTTGGTCATGGCAAACCTGCACGTATGAGGGGAAAAACAGTCAAAATAGTCTAGACAAAGTAACGATTTGCATGTTTTGCAGCATGAATGTACAATGAGCTAGTTTGATATTCCAATAGCGTATGCCCATTATGAGGCTATTCGAGAACAGCTACGCGTGCTCGATAGTCTGTCCAATCAGTGCAGCCATATGTTATCTTGCAAGCATATGCTTTGTGTCCCAAAAGACCATGGCTTTTTAAATACCGAACTGGCCCATTTCCAGCAAAATATCAGTAGTTATGATTGTGACCATTTGTTCTGTATTCAATGTCATAAATTCAATTCAATTTTACTAAACACTAACAAAAGCACTATTGTCGTCCCATATGGTATAAATCCATTTACATTTTTGAATTCCATTAACAGAACACTTCGCTGCTGACTATACGGTGTGATCTTTAACATTTTACAAACACTTTATTCTTGTCTACTGTTAAAAAAACTATTCTTTTCTGAATCATCTTTATCATGTGATCACACCAATACTGTAGACAGTGCACCATGATCTTTACCATTGTTGGCACTTGCAACAATGAAAAGTTCAGTACCCTCAGTAGGTTAGGAAATTTTGCATTAACTGTATGCACAGAGTCCTTAGCTATGGATGTGCTTTGGCACACAAGCCAAAGAGCCCATTGGAGTAATGCAATTGCTGAGAATAATGTTGGTTCCTACAAGCAATGAGTACCATCGCGTTATGTCCCAAAAGGGTATTCCAAAACGAGCCACATTTTGGAAATCATGTGTCAACAATTGTCTTCCTTGTTACGAACAAATCTTTGCTTGGCATTAGCAGACTTACGCAGTGAATCCGTTGATCATGTTAGTATACCTCAGCAGTACTGCGTCCAGCCAACCACAACGCCGGCGCCGCTTGGTTGTTACACCAAACTCATGACCTCGCTCTTGCAACAAGCTTCCTATTTCCTTTACAACAAAATGGGAACAATACATCAACATCAACACAGGTGTGTAAAAGGGAGTTATCCAACAAGAAAACTGATCCTATTGTTCTCCAACGGGATGGCACTTCAAAACAAGGCCAGGCTATTTGAGAGCAAAGTACCTAACATCAAATCAGTTCAAACATGCATTCGAGTTACTGCATGTCTAAGGAGGTAATGTCAACTTCGGTGCATGTATCGAAATTCTAGAATAACCCCCATTTTGACCATGTGCTCCTACATGTAAGTACAACACTTGCTAATTTTATGCAGCATCAAACAGATTTTGAAATCTGAACTGTAAATTTGCATCTATATGTTCTGAAACTACTGGCTATCAAAATGTCCCCTGATCTAAATTTTGCAAAACTGATCTTAAAGGACTACGTCTCTCGGAGATTTTAAAAGACAAAAGAAGGCAGAGCAAGATCATTGCTCATGTTCTACAGGCTGTACAAAATATTCAAGCAAATAATAGCTTGTTAAACATTTTAGTCTTTCAAGACAATAACTTAGTGAGTCAAGTGTGATATCTTTGATAAAATACTGCTTGTTACTTTAGACAACAGTTAATATTCGAAAACTTGATCAACTTGATATTCATATATCGTTCTCAGTCTCAGTCCTACACTTTCAAATCTACAGTGTATTTATTCTAAACATCAAGCTCACATCATTTAGTTCTGTTGGGAATGCACCATCTCCTACTCGGGTAGTATAGGCTTTTACTACTCCATAGACGTCCCCTATATTCTTTGCGGGTATCCCGAGACCGGTGCACACACCACCAATGGAGCAGTTGGATGAAGTTACGTAGGGATACGTGCCTGCCATGCAACAGTAAAAGTTAATTTGCATGTAATTTCAGCCATTGAAAATATCAAAGTGCTCAAAATATTTGACTTCCAAACTGGCTATCAACAAAATGTGTTAAAGTGACATGTAACAGGGATGCAATATTGACAAAAGCTGTCCATGATCCTCAAAAGTATGACAGAAAGTTTGCAGCATTGCAGAACAAAGAGCCCAGCTACTGTTACTTGACACTGGCTTTGCTACCCGTTGAAAATTTGAGGTGAAAGAATGCCCATTGGTTTCCTGCTTTAAGTAGATTTTACAGGAATCAGAAAGGCTCTTTGCACAGATTTCAAGGAAACTTTGGGTTGAAATGAAAGTGGACTTCCTAACCACTTTCTGATTCCGGTAGGTAAAGAGTGGCACTTTCCTTGACATTTGTGTCTCTGCAATGCAATGCAATGAAAATCAAGCGTCAAGAATATTTTGGCAGGATCTGTAATTCCATTACCAGTAATAAAACTACAAAAAGAATAAGCTTCAAAAGAAATGAATAGGGTAGGGGAGTATGAACTTAGGGAATGGGACAAGCATGGTTGAGGTGGTGGGCAGGCTAAGAGGATGGCACGGGGTAGGGGATGGTCATACCAAAATCAATGTCCAGCATTGTGGCATTAGCTCCTTCCACAATAATCTTTTTCATTGGGTCCTGCAGCACCTTGTACATGAAGTAAACAGTGTCGCCAACCATTGGCCGTAGTTTCTCGGCAAATTCCTATGTATGACAGTAGAGGAACCATGACAGGCATGAAGAACTGTTACTCTTCACCATCTGGATTTTCTGTCCTTAAAACTTGCACTGATAACTGAAAGGTTCGGTCAGTTGCTGCGAGAAACTTGAAATATTTGGACAGCTACTTCAAATTAACACTAAGGAATGTCTAAATAATTTTGTTTTCTTGGATATTCTTTTTCTTAAGGTTAATGCAAATAATAAATGCACATGGTAAAGATTTGCCAAAAGAGCCTGAAAGAGCCAAAATTTAAACATTTGGTTGATATACATATATACAAGAACATAATATTCCCACGATTTGTTGCAGGCGTAATAAATTTCAGATGAAGCAACAGACAAAAATCTACTGATCACATGTGAAGCCACTGCTGCCATAGTTGAAAGTATGTTCCTGCCTTTCACAATATCGTCATCTTGACAAGTCACTGGGATTTGTGAACAAAAATTTGACGGTAGCTTACCTCATATCTTTCTAGCTCTGTTTTAATATCCACTTCCAGATCAGGAAACATTCTCTGATATACATTAACAAGATGGCGGAATCTATGAACAAAATGCAGAATTGGAAGTGATCAAAACTGTTTGAATGTAGCGAAGTAGCTGTCTCTGCAATCTTGGCAGGGCGAGTGTTCTTGTGCGCTGTGGTTCCATCATCCTCAAGACAAATGGACCACTTTAAATAAAGGAGACATCTAAATATCATGGAGAGGAAATCAATAAACATCTGTGTTTCATGCCAAACACATGTGATACATGATACGTGAAATGTCAAACATACATGAAAGGAATGCTTTGGTCAGGTTTTGCATCTGCATTTTTGCATCATCCAGGTTTATCCACAACTTATTTATGTAATTTTTACTATAAATCCTCTCTAACGGTTCATCATAGCATTGGTATCTTTTTTTCTTATAAGCTTATGTTTTTGTGTGAACTCAACTTCACCCTCATGCAGAAGCAGTCCTAGTTCTAAACAGACAGCAACCTGATGTTCTTCAAAATTTAACATGAACTAAAAGACATATCTCCCCCTTCTGAAACTTCATAATGGTTCCATCATCCTCAAGACAAATGGACCACTTTAAATAAAGGAGACATCTAAATATCATGGAGAGGAAATCAATAAACATCTGTGTTTCATGCCAAACACATGTGATACATGATACGTGAAATGTCAAACATACATGAAAGGAATGCTTTGGTCAGGTTTTGCATCTGCATTTTTGCATCATCCAGGTTTATCCACAACTTATTTATGTAATTTTTACTATAAATCCTCTCTAACGGTTCATCATAGCATTGGTATCTTTTTTTCTTACAAGCTTATGTTTTTGTGTGAACTCAACTTCACCCTCATGCAGAAGCAGTCCTAGTTCTAAACAGACAGCAACCTGATGTTCTTCAAAATTTAACATGAACTAAAAGACATATCTCCCCCTTCTGAAACTTCATAATGCATCAACAGAACTCACTTCTCTGAGAAGGCACTGAAGTCAGCCATGAGGTCGCATATCCGAAGTCCAGAGCGACTGGCCTTGGAAGAATAGGTGGGACCAATGCCCTTCTTGGTCGTACCAATACTGCAAAACAGAGCAGGTTCAAAAATAGGAATAGAGAAGAAATTTTGTAATGCGCTCCATGCAGGAACAAGAAACGGCATACTTCATGGTATCTAGGAAAAATGTCCTTTTCGCAGGAAAGCACAGTGCGTGTGAACAGCTTAACATGCGCTTGATGTGGGCCACCTGTTTGCCAAGTCAAAAATTTTCCCACCAGCTTGTTTCTAAAATCTCCTTTGCTGATGAGAGGATGCATCAAGTCAGAGAAGACAGCTTATTCTATAGGACAAGGACTATCCAAGCAAACATTGATGTATTTTTGGAGGGTGTGCATGTAGTTGAGCCAAAGTTACACAGAATTCAGACAAGAATGTTGCATGAGACAGTCAAGCAGACAACAACTGTACCCACTTCAGCCACATGACAGGTATACAATTTTGGTCACTGATGTCTGGGCATGAACCAAATTGATACTACCATCAGAATTTCCAAGGTGGGTTCTTGGTTGGTGGGGGAGCTTCTTGAATTTGGGTGCGTATCGTAAGTCCAACGCCTCATAGGTCCGACCAGGGATCTGCCGCTGCCGGTCGGTGCCGGTCGGGCCCAACCGGCATGCAGAATTGCCGACCA